TCATGCCAGGGCCTTGCACCCAGAGATCCCTGAAGCGGTCCGTAGCCCACTTCTTAGATCTCCACCGCATGAGCCCCTCTGACACGCTGATGTGGCATTGGCTTGCCAGATCGTGCCGTGAAGCTCCAAGTCTGGCAAGCTCGTGCGCCCTTTCGTTGCCCTGAACGCCACTGTGACCCGGCACCCAGAGCAACCTTACTCTGTTGACACTGCCTAGCCGTGTCAACAAATCGACACAGTCCTTCACCAGCCCTGACTTGACCACGGTGCTGTGTATAAGTCTGAGCGCAGTGTGGCTGTCACTACAAATGTAGATGTGTTTGCCATAGTATCCCCTTTCGAGGATACTGTGGGCGCAGGCCCAAATGGCAAACAGCTCCGTCTGAAGAACAGAGGCGGTACCGGTTAGGGTGTAGGACAATTCGGTTCTAGGAACAACGTGTATAATTTTGAATTAAATACTTACTAAAAACAACCAAACGATAAATGACGTCGTACGTTTTATCATTTCTCGTAATTGAACATGTATAAAGTCCACTGTCATGCAAACTAAGATCGTCCATTTGAAATCCAAATTTAGGATCGTATGAGATATTATCTTCTACATCGATAACCTGCGTCATTTAATCAATTATAAAGTGTTAATAAATTATTATTATTATTATTATGCATATACAATACTATCAATTGATGATGATGATTTACAAAATTGATATTTATTGAATATATAAATAAAATCAAAAATTAAAGCTTACCATATCCCAATGATTGTACAAAGTAACTTGCAAATTTGGCAAAGTTGGTCGACATGGTATCAAAGCCATATTACCGGTTACTCCTTTTATAATTTTGACCACATTTTCGACAAATGAACTGTTAGGTGCTAGAAAATATTTATATTTAATTCGAATAATATTTAAAAAAAAATTATTTCATTTATATTATTTTATTTCTTTCCATACGAGACCACTTGCACATAGTGTGTGCAATCATACTTTACTATTATAAATTATTTTGAGTAAAGTAAAACTTTTTTTTTTGTATAAATAATATCTATGAATTATAGAAAAATAACATTTAGTATTGTTAAATTGACATATAATAAAAGAAATATAATATTTAATATATAATAAAAATATATAACAAAATTTGGTATTGTAAAATTGAATATACAATAAATAAAAACGAAATGATTTTTAATAACCGTGTTTGAAAAAATTCGTGGTTTCGAATGGGTTAACATATTATTAAATATATTTCTATATTTTTTTTTACGTACAATCAACGTAAACGTAGACCCAACTAAATTCGGGATCATCATAATCCTTTMGAGTGATYGTTCGATTRTGATAAGAACAACCATACCAACCCGTATCACCAGGTACGGATTTACGTCGAGAAAAATTGTATGTACTTCCAAAATTTGTATTATTTTCGCTTACTTCTATTTTCGATGATATAACCTATTCATTATAAAAAAAAAAAAAAGAAAATTATTTCTTACTTTAAATATTTCTATTAAAATTTAGAAGAACAAAAAGAAGTATATAAAAAGAAAAAAAAATGAAGTGATAACAGATTAAGATGATAAAACCTTCATGGAACCTTCCTCGTCGGATCCGTAATTCGTTGGATAGTAAAAAAAAATTTTCTTAGAACCTGTGCAAGAAAATTGTATAGGTTCACCAGCATTTTTAATCAATTCCTTTCCTTCTGGACTTATAATGGTAGGTCTGTCTTGACATAACACTATAAAAAAAAAATTAAAATATTATAAAGCTGTTATAATATAATTTAATTTTTTTAAATGAATATTTCTTATTTTAAACATTTCAAATCTGTATAATACTATTATAAATATATAATAGTAGGTTGATATATATTTAAAAAAAAAAAAATAAAAATAGTAGTATACAGTATTACAATATTATACAGTTATATATATATAATTAAATTATAAATAAAATAATTTATTATAATATATATATAATATTATAATAAATTAATATAATATTAATTCAACGAGACGTTTTTTCTTATTGGTTTCTTTTCGTTTCTTTTTACGTAAATATAATATATATATATATATTTGTTTTTTTTTTTAATTCACAAAGTCTCTTTTAAATTAATTTATATCCATATCGAAATGTTTAATCTATAATTTCTAGTATATTAATAACAACTGACGTAGATATAGAAATTTTCTAGACTGCTATTTATAATTTCTGAGAAGATACCGAAGTGAGGGGTCATTGTTTTTATGTCATTTATGCGATACGCATTATAAAATATTATTTATCGCTGTATGATATACACCATTATTAAAAAAAATCGTTCGAATGTTGTTTCATTTTTAAATTGTTAACTTAATACATCAGAGTATTAATTATGAATAAATATCAACGGTGATTTTTACGAAAGTTATGTTTTATCAAATGAAAAACAAAATTTTTATCATTTATGAATCAAATGAAAAACAAAACGATACAAAAAAAAAGAATTAATTATAATAAAAAAATAGAATTATTATAAAATATTAAAAAAACTAAATCATTCGAAATAATAGATCAGTCGAGTCACACATCATGTGAAATAACAAGAAATTGTCGATAATCGAAATCACGAATTAAATTAAGGGTTCATTTTGATTTATCATTTTGAAAAAATCAATTTTTATATTTTTGCATTTTTCGAAAGTAGACATATGTAGAATTATCATACAAAAATCTTAGAACGTTCCGAGCAGTTTAAGTATATTATTTTGCGACCCAAACACATAGAGATATTACAGATAGAGGTGACAAACCATCTGCGGTTGTGTAAGTGGAAATGTCTCTGCATGAATATAGCTGCATAAAACAAAAGGTTGATGTTGACCTGACAAAAACAGAATTACTTGAAAGATGTTTAGGTGGCCACACATTTAAAATAATAATGAGTGCTTCAACAAATGCGTTTGGGCTACGGTGCCTAAACACCTATTTAATGGTAAAAAAAATTGTTGAAATAACTTGTAAATTGGCAGCTTGTATATTCAACGAAGGTTTTGATCCAATACTGAAAATAATGCACGTTTTGGTGATAAAACTTGGCCCTATCGCAGTCAATTATGCTAGTAACCGCGGCAACACGCGCGTGCGCTCAGCCAATCGTTTGAGCGGAGAATCTTTAAAAGAGGCCAGGACACAACGAAAAAAGGCTAGAGTGGAAGAAAATGAGTATTTTGAAGAAGCAGAAGGCATACTGTATGATGCAGGCATCGTAGAATAAGGTAAAGTCAGACTTTTTTTAAATTTTGTAAATAAAACTTTAAACGCGTTTTTCTCGAAACAACGTTTTTTCGGTTGGCGGGCATGATATCTCCGAAACTACTCAACCGATCCTTCTGAAATTTTAACCACATACTCTACACATGAATGGCTATCTCGCATGCTACANCAGGACACAACGAAAAAAGGCTAGAGTGGAAGAAAATGAGTATTTTGAAGAAGCAGAAGGCATACTGTATGGTGCAGGCATCGTAGAATAAGGTAAAGTCAGACTTTTTTTTAATTTTGTAAAAAAAACTTTAAACGCGTTTTTCTCGAAACAACGTTTTTTCGGTTGGCGGGCATGATATCTCCGAAACTACTCAACCGATCCTTCTGAAATTTTAACCACATACTCTACACATGAATGGCTATCTCGCATGCTACAACCAAGTCAAAATGGCGGTCATTTTGTTTTGTTTTCATAAAAATTGATAGTTGTAGCATACCCGATAGCCATTGTCCTACTGAATTTAAAACCGTTTAAAATTTTTTGTTTTAGACCAACCGTTCTCAAATTTCGATCTCCGCCAACAGCATACCTACTTTTTAAGGGTTCACGTTTGTCAGCCATTTTGAATGTCAAAATATGTTAAAAACAATAAAAAAAAATTGTTTTCTCGTACTTCTAGAGTGTATTTATCATACCCAACAACTTTCATATGTATATGTATCCTACTAAGCCTAAACAAAAATCGTGAAAATAGCCTTTTTTCGGCGTAAGAACCAGAATGAACCCTTCATTCGTAAACCCGTATGTGACTCAATGGTGACCACGTGACTCGATCACTACGTTACTCACAACAAGTAAAAAAAGAAAACAATATGCCTACACGTTCAGTACATCTGGTATTCTCAGGTGTGATGTCAACGTAAAAAATAATTACCTCCACTGAAGAGAGCACAGCTGATTAGAATAAGAATGAACATTTTTCTTTTTCTTGGTAACACCTTTTTCCAACTTTGATTTCTTCTTCTTTTTATTTTTCACTACTTTCACATATTTATTTTTCTTCAATGTTTTCCTTTTAACTTTTGACTACATTAAATGTAACTTTTATTTAATATTATCAAAGTATTCCCTTCGTTTTTTATTAATGCTTAAAGGGTTAAGAGAAGGGTGAGAGAGAATACAAATTTGTTTTTTGTTCTCTCTCTCTCTCTCTCTCTTTCTTATTCTTTCTTTCTTGTTATCTTTATTTGAATTAATCACTATAACTGTTTCTTTAATTATTGAGACATTTGAAATTTCGTTCATGAATAACACTCGCCTTTCAAGAACCTGCATCAACTGGAAAGTTGAAACTGTACTGAAGAAACTACGCGCCATCGGTACATAGTAACTCTTTCACACACACACACACACACACACACACACAAATCCGGAAATCTACACGTACGACCTTACCCTTACTGCGTTGCATTGGAAGAAAGTGTTGCAACATATATAGTACAATGTCATCTCTCACAACATTGGTTTCTTCTTTTCTGGATATCACGTTTGTATTTCATTCTATGTATTTACAGATTTCTTTTTATCTTCGTCAATCTTTTTTTGGTATTATAAATCTAATATAGTAATATTCTATTAAATAAAATATAATATAATATTATTCTATAATGTATAATATAATATAATAACATCATGTATGTTTTAGGATAAGTAGAATCCATATAGGTTCTAGAGAATTAGGAATGTGTTATGTAATAAATAGAGAAAGAAAATGCTTAAAAGAAGAACGGTGAGGGAATTTTCATATCAAAACGTATTTGATACTGAACATAGATCACATGCATAATCTCCATACAATTAGCTTACTTCTGATACTGTGCATTTGTCTCATTTTCTTGAAGCTTGGTCTTTTTGAAGGTTTCACTCCTAACGTGYTGTGATCTACACATATGTATTTTTATACTTAATATTACAAAGTATAAGGGAAGTACATTTAGTATATGGTTAGTTCTTGTTAACGGCCATACCGTGATGAAAACACAAGTTCTCGTTAGTATATATTACAGGGAATAAACCATCTGAAATCCAAAAAAAACTAGAGATTAAGGTAAATCAAATAATKAAATATTATAAAACTTGGAAACTGAAAGCCAACCCGCAGAAATGTGAGACAATTTTATTCCGAAGGAATTTAAGCGAAATTGCCAAATCGGCAAGAAATTGGAGAGATTTTCAAATAAAAATAGAAAATGAAGAGACTGGAGAAGAAATAGAAATTCCGCAC